ATACTATTATACTATTAGTATAATTATACTCCTGGCTGATCCAGCGTACACTTCGTTGCTCATACAAAATGACAACTCTTTAAAAAATTGTGGTTGTTAAAATCTTTTTGGATGTAACTCGCAGCAGTAATTGCAATTCAGAGACCCTGGTAGGCAATCCTACTACGTCGGATCGCGGACTATGTGCGAAACACGATTAAAGATATACCTTTAATCATGGTGCGACAACATATCAAATAGCTGACACCATCGATGAGCGGCTATAAGTAAAGCGACAATCCGATTTAATGCACGCTTGGTAAACCAACAGTATAGCGTACGCAGGATTTTAGTTCGGTTAAGGTTTTATCTGAGTAAATAACTTGCATTATTTTTTACTCACAGTGGAGCAGGAACTATTTTTCATGAGGGGTTGTGGCAAAACATAAAACATCCAAAAAATATAATATATTTATTTGTGGATCTATAGATATAACAGAAAACCTTTCTTAATATTTTATTATTTTAATGTTGATATAGGTACCTAGCTTATTATAATAAAATAATTATATAAATGTATTGATATAATTATAGTATAATATAAATAGTAAATACATTATATTTATACATTTATATATTGAAACGAAACATAAAACATATTTACTTTATACCTGAATTTATATTAAAATGTAACAATATATAAATAAATATTAATTAATTAAATATAAAAAAAGGTGATCTGCTGTACTGTATAGGTTACAAGTGTGAAGTGGGTCACTGTATAATGGATGGTATTAAGTTTGAATTCAATGATATAATATCATCATTGTATAAGAAAAATGATTCTAATCGGAGACGGTATATCAGTCTAGGTATAAGACATATTATAAACTTATCTATCGTATTAAAAAAAATTTACCTAAAGGCTAAAATAGGTTCCTATAATAAATTCCAAATTAATCATATCACAATATACATTAGGTACTTAAAATGCGTTATACGTCAACAACAAACTCTGATACCATCATAGTCCATACTCAATAGATATATAATAGTGTACTTTAGAAGTTTCAAGTACCTACCCACGAATAATATTACACAATCACAACAAAATAACTAAAATAGTTATTCTAGGTTTTTTATTATGTATTTACGTCCAAATTTGAACTTAAAATGACTATAAAAATAAACTGTGCTTCTGTATTTTTTAGAATTTTTGGTAACAGAATTAAATACTTAGGTGGAATCTTGTTTTAAATTTTCAATCCTTAGATATAAAAGTTGAACATTTTATAAATTTTTAACTACAAAATAATTATTCAATTTTAAATTTGATACATTTTGTCAAAATTTGATCTTTAAATGCTTATAAGAAAAAAACTGTGCCTATGTATTTTTAATATTTTTCAACTGCTATTGTAACAATATATAAGCATTATATTACATTTTTACACTTTTCGGCCCAACAGATAAAACTTTATTGATATCTATAAAAAAAAAAAAACTAAAAAAAATTGAAAGCTGTAAATGTCCGTAAACAGCTCAAAGAGAGTCAAAATATTTTCAAAATTGTATGGTGTATAGGAAATGCTAATTATTCGTTTTTGAATTACAACAAAATAAAGAAATCGCTACAAGAGAAATCGAGTGAATGTCCAATGTTGTAAAAATTTGAATTTCAAACGCTCATAAAAATTTAATTTGACATTCTTATAGACATTTTTTTTTTTGATAAAGGTAAATAATTTTATAAGGAATCTTGTATTACATTTTCAAATCTAAGATTTAAAAAGAAAAATTTTTACGAATTCTTAACTCAAAATAATTTGCTAATTTTCGTGATTTTTCCATATTTTGTCAATTTTTGAACTTTAAATGCTTATAAAAAAAAACTGTGACTAAGGATTTTTAATATTTGTCAATACCTTTGATATAATATACTAGGAGCCTTCTTTTACATTTTCAAGCTTTTTTAACCAACAAATAAAATTGTATTGATATTTTTAGAAAAAAAACTATAAAAAAATGGAAAATGAAAATGTCCCTAAACAGTTCAAAATAAATCAAAATATTTTGAAAATGTTATCGTGTATAGAACATGCAAAAATAAACAACCAGTGAAAATTTCACTTATCTACGGTCATTTGTTTTAAAGTTACACCAAAAACCAAAATCGATTTTCTCAAAAACAGATTTTGCGTAAAAATTCCCTTTTTTCCTTAATTTTTCTTTGGTTTTTCTTGGCGCTTTTGAAAACTACTGGGAATTTTAAATTTTGATCTCCCTAATGCACCAACGATATTCACTTTCCAATCGAACAAGATACTGAGGTTGAAAATCGAAGCATTATTTCACTACTTATCGTGTACACAGACACAAAAAAATAATAAAAAAAACACACATCGTTGTAAAATCAATACATTCATCGTTCCACTCAGAATCTAAAATGTACTTCTATTTTATAATATATGGTAATATATGGTAAAGAATATTGATATATAGATTATTTTATCATAATACATTGATGATGTCATAATGCTCTTTTGCAGTGTTAAATATTTAGATACCTACTTATATTGTGTAATACAATAATAAATAAAGTATACCCTTTGGCCTTTATGGTACAAACCTCAAGGTAGTTAGAGATTTAAGGTATTAAATTTAGAATTTAGAAGTAAAAGAGATTATTAAAAAAGACAATTTTTCACTTCGCCAAAAAATATTCCGAAGTTGTAGATTGGGAACCAATATTATAAAATTTATATTTTATATAGGTAATAAATATTAATTTATAATTTTCAATTACGTAATCGAAAACATCGTTTTACTTTTTTACAGTCACCCCTACTAAGTCCTAACATAAACCAGTGGGCTATTGCCCTTTCGAACCACCCCTTAAATACGACTCTGGTGTATACTGTAGCCTGTATTAGTATATAGGTATATAGGTATTATTAATATATTAATAATTAACGCAATATATAGAATATAGATTATTACTTCTTGGTTACTGTGACCTAAATATTTAATAATTTTGAAATAAATATAAGTACATTTAAAAGTCATAATTTATTATTGGCAGGTATCAAAGTATTGACATTGAACAGTTCTTACCAAAAATGTGAAGTTTTATGAAGCATACTAATTACGTACTATAACAATGAACTATGAAGTACCTAGTATAGTAATATACTAGTAATATTATTAAATACTTTATTTTAGAGTAGGTACCTAACTGCAAATTGATGTTTTATAACTATTTCTTTGGATTCACGGTTTTGTGAATTTCTTGTATTATAACTTATAAGTAATTCCATTAAAAAAAAAAACATTAGTGTACCTAGTCTAAAAACTATTATATATAGTATTATATACCTAGAAGCAGATAATGATAATAAACTTTCCTTCTGCTTGGTATTTTAAAGTTTATACAGGGATCACAATGGACACAGATAGGTACACAGTTCATTAATCCAATTTGTCTTGATCTATCAACATCAGTGCTTATTTTTACTTTGTAAAATTTTAAATTTGTCTACAACATGGTGATCCAAATAATTACAATTAAAAGGGCCGTTGGCTTAAATGGACGTGGATTCTCATTTTGAGACAATAATGGAAATTCTTATTAAAAGCACCAAACTCGCAGGGATGGTTTCACAGTTCGATGTTCTCTATGGCGTTCAAAGTAATTTTTAAATAATGAATATTACATTATACATATAGGTAGTTCCTTACATAAAATAAACACATTTTTGTAATTAAATTAATTTTTAGGCACATAAATAATGATTTTTAATCTATTATTATGTGATTATATTGAATCAAATTGTAAAAATTTTTATGACTAGGGATAATGTTTTTCAAAATGTTTTATTAAATTAAATAATTTATAATCAATACAATTTTCTAATGTCTAAATGTCTAATGTCTTGTATTTCCTACTTAAACAAATGTTTTTATTTCAGAAATGCTTATTAGATATACCTACGCGTGGTATAATCAATGATTACCGATTAGCAAGTGATTTTATTGAAATAAGGCAACCAAGACCACATGTATGGATAGCACAAGACAAAAAAATAAAAACCGGGCTAACCAAGTTGAGGAGCCACATATTTTCAGTGGCCGAATTTTTGGGCTACTGTAAACACAGTACACCGAATTTTGGAATAAACCGTCCTAATGAAGGTGAATTGATTAATTGGTTAAAATCTTTTTTTCCATCAAATTTGGAATAGGTTACAATATTAGTTGTACCAAAAAATGTAGGTATGTTTTGTTTCCAAATCTATTACTTTTATGACATTCATGTAGGTAGGCTTCACATTTGTCTACTTTTGTATTCATATATTTCATAATATTCTTAGATTCAAACTGAATATAATGGAATATATTTTTTATACCTTGATTCGGTTTTTCATATTATTTAATTTAAAATTGAAGAGAAGATTTTATTGTCATTTTAATCTTAAATACTTATAAGTATACAATTTATTACAATATTATTATTTTATAGAGCAACAAGTTGATGATGATGCAAATAATATTGCAGATAATATTGGTAATCATGATTTAATATAAAATTTAAGAGATGATTTTATTGTCATTTTGATCTTAAATATTTTAAGTATACAATTTATTACATTATTATTATTTTATAGAGCAACAAGTTGATGGTGATGATGACGATACAAATAATATTGCAGATAATATTGGTAATCATGATTTAATATAAAATTTAAAAAATGATTTTATTGTCATTTTGAACTTAAATATTTTCAGTATACAATTTATTACATTATTATTATTTTATAGAGCAACAAGTTGATGGTGATGTTGATACGAATAATATTGCAGATCATATTGGTAATCACGTCTACTTTTTTGTTTGTTTTTGTACCTGTAAGCAAAATATAAATTATTTATTTATTGTAGAGCCAGCAGTGCACCAAAATTATGGTTATGAATCGCCTCCTCCATTTTTCCAGCAGGTACTTCTAAACCATAATCTGTCTTTGATGTCATCCTTACCGCTATATGAACCACAGTATTTTGGACAAGGTAAGATACTGAACTTAGTATAATACTTTATAATCTATGATTAATATATATTTTACACACATGTAGCTTTTGTTTTAAAAATTTAATACTTATTCACAAAACAATTATCAGCCCGTTTGTCAGTACTTTTTTTTTTTAATATTCACTAGAATACCTAGTTATGCATACATTGAGTATTGACTGAAGTTTAATAAAATATATTTGGCTATATCCAGTCTTTGTTATATTTGTAAATTGTATGATTTATTTGAATGATTGTTGGGAAATGGTAATCATTATATAAGTTAATAATTCCTTAAGATTGCTATTGAAGATAATTATTATAGTTTTTTTGAATTTTTATGCATGTCCTAAGTAAATTATTTATTTTAGAACCAATAGGAACCAAAAACGATGGTGATATGCCGATTGTTTATGTCGGGAGACAGAATGAAGAAGGTAATAAATAACCTCTTAAAATATTTATTTAACAATGTGTAATATACTAATATTCATTTTTTAATATAGGACTAGCTTTGAAACTATAAACCTACCAAACATTAATTTTAATAATGTTTACTCAAAAAGCATGGTAGACACTATAGTAATTTAAAGAAACACAATCTAAATAATGTTGATTAGAGTAGTTGTGGATTGTCTTCTGATTTCACAATATTTAATTAATATTTCCATACTATCTATTTATTCATTTTTCAATTATTTTCAATTTAGAGTAGAGCTATTAATGTATTAATTTTACTAGGTAGTGTATGTATTGTGTATACACAATTTAAAGTAGAAAATAAATTTCAACTTAAGTATATTTTCTGATAGGAATCTAGCTGGTACTACTGGGAGGACAAAATTCTAGTACTTTTCTCAATAATTGGGGAAAACAAAAATAAATTATTAAAAACAAGTTTTATATTTTAGATGGATTTTTTTTTTTTTTAAATTTTCATTTAACTGTTGATAAAATTTTTTTTACTCAGTTAGACAACTTGAAACTCCTACGTATTTATTGTATTTGTTTAATTGAATGATATACTCTTTTCAGAATAAGAAGGAACCAGGCGGCCACGGACAAAACCGGTTTTGTTACGTAAATCTGGTGCGTTCTTATTCTGAAAAGAGTATAGTTGGGAATTGGTAAACATTATAAGTTAAAAATTCTTTTAGAATTTTAGATTGCTATTGAAGATAAGTATTATTGTTTTTTTTTTGTCTTTTTATACATGAACTAAATAAATTATTTATTTTAGAACCAGTAAGGATAGAAAATTATGACAATTTATCAATTAATGTTCACTTCAGGAGACCGAATGAAGAAGGTTAACCTCTTAAAATATTTATTTATCAATGTGAAAATTTGTGACAATAGTTATTTAATATCTTTATACTACCTCAACTTACAGTTGAAAATATGAGAGAAATCATTGTCTGCGTCACATGTTTGAACGAGGAATCAAATGTGGTATTACGGCCATGTAACCATACATGTTTATGTGGTGCATGCTATGAAGGGTTAACTAGATTGGTTTGCCCACTATGCCGAGAACCTATAAGAGAGATTGTTGTATTTTTAATTAACATTAGTTGATGACTTTGATTATAAGAAATACAATATTTTAATATATATATATATTTTTTTTTGAGCCAAGTACACATATTTTGACTTTTCCCTAATTTTTTATAAGCTTTTCGTTGTCATGATTACTATTTTTACCAAAAACATTAATGATTCACACATTATCCTTGGAGACTTGGAGTGTAAATTATTGTGTGGTTTACCACGTAACCGTAATCTTAACCTTTTTTTCAAATAGGGTGATTGTAAATTACTATTACCTATTTGTATGTACTAATGTTATTAATTATTATATACATAAATAGTTTTTGACTATTAATTTCTGTTAAAAAAATTAGGCATAGGTAACTAAAGTGACTGACTTGAAAAATATAATAATTATAATTTATATGAGTTCAAAGTTCTATATATATATCTGTATTTGATTTTTTACGGGATGTGGCTCCTTCTAATGGTTATAATTTATAAATTCTAATTAATGAACATTTTAAGCCACTAACAAAAATAATGTAAATGTTAACAAGATGTCAAGATCATATACATTCATCTTTATTCATCTTTGTAACTAATTGATAAAATAAAAATAAATAAATAAACAAATACATATTACACATTACCCATATAATATATTATTATTATAAAACCTATTATAACAATATATTGTAATAAACATTAATCATTAAAACTAATTTAATAATATAAATTATTTTTCTATTACAGTAGTAACCAATAGGTTATAGGTGCCATACTATATAACCACTGGTATGCTAGTAAGAAGGAATATATGATCAATAGGGAAGCAAAGCTTTGACCTCGTGGGCTATGGATTTGATTGTTTTACTATTTTATTCATTACTTATCACAACACTCAATTCATGTCAGATTTTAATGAATAAGAAAAAATCTCAAAAATATAATATATTTAAAGAGTTTATTTCTAAATGACTAAAATATTTGATATTTTAGAACTTGTTGATAGCTAAAGTCTAAATTAGGTACATTTTATGTCTACTTGAAAAGCAACATCCTAAATCATACAAAAAACCTAATTGTATTTCAATGATTTGATTTGTTTGTTTAAATTGAAGGAAAAAGCAAGAAACATACTGAACTATTAAAAATTAGCCATACATAAAAATAGATATGTCATATGAACTATGCATATTGAAAACGTTTAAAAAAAAGTAAAAACAGACTGATACAAATCTGCTAAATAACACGAAACTCTTAATTACGAGGTAGCAAGGCTGGGAAAGTTAATGTTTTTTTTTAACTCGTTAAGTTAAGTTATTTTAAAATAATTAAGTTAAGTTAAGTTAAAAGTTACTCGTATTTTTTATCGTTAACTCGTTAAGTTAAAAGTTAACTTTGAAAAAAAAGTAACTTAACTTAGTGTAAAGTTAAAATTTGCTAATTTGCAAAAATAGAAAATACCAGACACATAATGTGGTTTATTAGATAGTTTTTCTTTACGCCTAAGAAAATTACTGGGGAAATTTAAAATGATACATCAAAGTAAAAACACATTAAAAAATTTACATTATTCTTCAGAAGAAAATTAACTTAATTTGGATATTTTTGAAATAAAATTAACTTGAAGCTAACACGTTAATCTTTAAAAAAAGTAACTTATTAAGTTAAAAGTTAATTTGAAAAAAAAAGTAACGAGTTAATTAACTTAATTAAAATTAACTTAACGTTTTAACTTAACGTTTTAACTTAATTTTAATTTTTAACTCGTTAATGCCCAGCCTTGCGAGGTAGTGGTTTTGAACGTCACTTGGGCGAAACTTTGATATATAAATAATTCCCCACTGTGTTACACACTAAGGTTAAATAATACAGAGTATACCTAGGCTCACAGACACAAATAAATATAAAATACGAGATTAGGGATAATTATTCAGATATCAGAAATTCAGAATTAATATTAATTTTCTTAAGAATAATATGCAATACCTACCTACTTTAAATAAATACAATAAGCCATATAAGAGTACGTAGGTACCACGATTAAAGATATACAGGTTGCACATCGACTACTGATAAGGTGAAATACGAAATGACTACCAATAATTAACCAGTGGCGCTCCAAGCGGCAGTATTACAATTAACCAATTATAGATATATAGGTGTAAAATTAGTTCTAAATGTCGACACATATGCTTGAGTGTTGACATTAAGCGCCACTAGTTAATTATTAACAGCTGATTTTTATAGTCACTTTGTAAATCAGTCTGGAAGCGGTTTACTATAGGGCGATGTGCAACCTGTATATCTTTAATCGTGGTAGGTACATACGTTTTATTAATATAAAAAAGGGTATTATTTTTAGCTTCAAAGTACTTACATATTATAATTATTCAAAATTAACTATTGTATTCTCAAAAGTCAAAAGTGTATAAAACTATAATAGGCATTTGTAATAAATTTACATAAATGAATTATAATTATACAGAGATCGAGTGTAATGTATTTTTTTTTATAATATTTTTTTATAATGTGATAACAGACATCTTATTATCAAGACTTTTAGATCACCGCTCGATAATTTGATCCCGAGACAACTAGATCCACGTTGTTACCATAGGTATGGTTGGGATCTCAATGACCCGGGTCCTATTTGTTCATACACCAAATTTTTTGAGGGGACAAGCCATTATTCTGTAAATTATGTGAGTTATACCTATGATGAATAATATAATGATTTCTAAAAATAAACATTTGTGCAAATTTTATACAAATTCCACAAAGGTATACAATTATTGATAAATAAACTTATAAACGACAAATAAATTTAATTGTTAACTGATTTAAAACGAGTTATTCGACACTAGATTCATATATATTAAAATTGTGTGAAACTACACTTGTGTACTTGGCTAACATTAAATTTATACATTATAGGTACATTAGGTATATCAATATAAATATTTTATAAAAGCCAAATGGGTTCACAAACATTTTATCCATAAGGGTAAATATTGAAGCTACCCACCTAAACTTTAAAACCTGAATGCCCAAAAATGGTATTTTAGTGACACCACTGGGAAATCTGTGTAACACATAACTCATAATAATTATGATTATTCTTGATTAACTATTGACAAAATGTATCCATTAGTACTATTTTATATACCAATGACAGTTATTACTTAGTAATAACATTAATAATAAGTAAGACATTAATAATGTATAAATTATAAAAATAAAATTTTATATATTTATTAAAAAAAATTATATAGCTAGACAAAATATAACTTTAAGAAGTATGAACATTGTTGAGTAGTAGAGATGGGACATGTTAACTTTAATGAACTAATTTAGTGATTCATTTTTCAATTAAATGAACTGGTGCAGACTGTTCAGTGCAGTGGCGGCGTCAGAACTTTAATGCCAGGTGGGCCAGGCTGGGGCCCAAATTTTTTAGGGAGGGCCAAATTGTTGACTTGATATATATATATAAACAATAGTGATGACAGGCAATTGCGCAGAGAGGTAAGGGGGAGGGTCAACTTCCAATTTTTTTTACACTTCATCGTGTAAACTTACTAAAACAATGATTTGTAAACAATAAACATGTATTGTATTAATAGTATTTATTTCCTATAACAAAATATATATTCATGTAAACACTTTTTAATTTGTATACTCCCTAACCCATAATTATACTCAATACCAACGAATATTTAATAATAATTTATTATTTTCGTATTCAGCCTCTGGAAAATACACGTTATTTATGAGGCTTGAAAGCATATATAGAGCATAGTTGTCAACCCATTCAAAATGTTGTTCACGCCATCTATCATGGCTTAATATTTTCATATATTTTAATAAATCATGATTTATTCATGAGATATTTTTTAGTATTCTAATATGATTAAATTTAATTTTTAGGGTGGGCCACAGGGGGGGGCTGGGACTTTTTAAGGTGGGCCCGGGCCCACCCTGGCCCACCCCTGGCGCCGCCACTGGTTCAGTGAATCATAATTTAACTAATTTATTTGTTTGTGACCACCACAGACAAGTTAATTTAATTGAATCATTAATCAATTCTACAACATGTTTTTTTCTTATGAAAATTATACAAAATTAAATTAACCAGTGTAAATATCCAGTATACTGTATACAATAAGTTTCTATATCTATTTTATGGTTTTTATAGATCAAATTTGAATTTAAATAATGTAAAAATATTAGTTTGTTGACCCATCATTAAGACAGTACATAAAAATCATCTACATTTTATATGGAATTACGTAAAAAGTAATAATAATCTCAATTATCTACACACCAAGTAGGTCTATCTATTTAATTACATTTTTTATTTATTTTTAAACAAACAAACCATGTTTAGTAATCAAAGGTGAGATATTTGTCAATATTGAAAACTGGTTGGACAGTGATGTGATATGATATTTTAATCTTTTAGTCCAGTAAATATTTAAACATAAATGTAATCAGCCAGGGAAATTTTATTTTTTAAAAATTATTTTAGCATATTGAAAATATAAATTAATTTCTTTAATTGCATTTTAACCATTTCTTATTTTTTTTTATTGCATCTATTAATAAGACAAATTTCAATTCCCTAAAGTAGAGTTCAATTATAATAAAAATATGACTTCAAAAATATAAGATTTGTTTGTTTGTTTTTTTCAAATGTTTTATTAAATGTAATTTACTTTTATAAAATAGTAAGTTTTTGTATCAAGTGTCAATGTAGCTGACATGCATTGTTGTAAACAAGACATCTCTATCTAAATTGTAGATGAATATTTCCAAAAAAAAATGTTTGCATAGATAGGTACTTGGTTTATTAAAATGTAATAAATCCATAACTTTGTTGGTACCATATATTATCTTACCAAAAACAGTTATTAACTATTAAGAAAATGTATGTAAATAAATATAAGTGTAGTTAATTATTTTCCTAATAATATTATAAATATTATTACTTTTTTAAAAAAAAATTTTTAATTGATATATACATTTTTAATATATGTGTG